CTCTACTCCTGCTTGTCAAAACATGAGCATCTCCCAGCCCTGTGTGTGCTCTGGGAAGTTTTTAGCTTACAGCCTCCCATTTTGTTTTTGTCTCGCTTAGTGGTCTTTCATGCTACACACACTTGGCTCATTATTCAATAACAGACTTGCAGATTTATACAGTTCTTTCTCTGCAGAGCTTCCTCTTATTTGGTACTCCACTCCATAAATTCCAGCTGCTTCAGCTCTCTAAACTTTGATCATATCTCCTCAACTGAGACTGTCTGTTGCTCTGCTTGGGTTGTCCCTTTCAGCATCATAATATGAAACATGCCCCCAGGCAGAAAGCTGAGTCAATGGTAGGTACAGATCCTTCGTTTCCATCCTCCCAAAGATCACAATCCTGTGTCGTCTTCTGTTCAATATTTAAAAATAGTTGTTTCATACATTTATTTATTTTTCAGTTTTATGGTTGTCAATAGTGAGAAAGCAAGCAGAGTTGCAGTTACCCCCTCATTGCTGGCTATTAAAAATTGAATTCGACCAAATGAGTTATCCATATCAACTTTATCAAGAAACAAGGAAACTGCCTACACCTAATTCCCCCATCTCAAAATAAACATACCTCACATACTCAATCTTGATTTCTTAGGTGAAAACTAAGACTATCAGTCTTACCAACAGTACAGTTGAACTAATCAATAGTATAGCTGAGCTGATTTTGCTGCCTAGCAGAGACACTGAAAAGTGGTTTACCACAAATTAGGCAGTTTCATGATGATAGCCAGACACCAGAATGACTCCTGACCATTTGGTTAAGTTCCCCAGGCTGTAGGAAACAAGGTAAACGATGCCTGGTCACAACTACATGTTATCTTGGAGAAGCCTCCCCATCTTAGATGGCCTCTGTGTGACTAGGGCTTGGCACATTGTATGGCAGCCTACTTGTCAACTCTCATACTAGTTCCATTTATTATTTCTGCCTGGTGGGGGAAAACAGATCTGCTCAGCATGGACGAACCTCGAGTGTGCTTTTCTCAGACACACACATCCCATGACCATTATTTTGGATGTCAGAAGATAAATGAGACTCTGGCACATTTCTGTGAGGCACTATCTTATAAAAAGACACCTTAAGATAACTATACTGAATTATATCATTTCAAATACAAGAGCTCTGTGAACTGCTATCTTTCTTTCTTATGTTGATGTTTTACCTCCTCCCTCCCTCAGT